TCAATCTGCCATTTTTCAATACACAATATATTTATAGTTCTGAGACATGGGGGAAGATATTAATATTTAATGTTCTCTTGGAATCTAGCACGTGTTATGAAATCATCAGTGTTCACTGAATAAAATAATAATAAACCCTCATTAACTAGAAGTTAACAAAGCATAATTTCACATACATAACCTCATTATGATCCTCACCAACACCTTGGGGGTTGATATTGCAATTCCTTGTCTTACTGATCAATTTAGGTCCAGAAAGAGTAAATGAATAGCTCAACAACACATTGCCATGAGAATTGGGATAGTTTAGCCATATTTAGCAAACTTCCCTAAAGATCCTACTCTTAAGGAAGCTCAAAGAGGGTTTGCATTATGTACAAAAATGTTGAAGATAATTTTTAAAAATCCCTTTGAGGAATTCAGAATCAGATATTAAAATTGATATTTAGAGTATGCATCTTGTGATGACTTGGTCAGGTGGGATGGGAGCGGGGAGAGAGGCTCTAAAGGGAGAGGATATACCTATTTATTTATTATATATCTACATATATATCAATAACCTTAGATATGCAGATGACACCACCCTAATGACAGAAAGCAAAGAGGAATTAAAGAACCTCTTGATGAAGGTGAAAGAGGAGAGTAAAAAAGCTGACTTAAAACTCAACATTCAAAACACTAAGATCATGGCATCCAGTCCTATCACTTCATGGCAAATAGATGGGGAAAAAAGGGCAAACAGTGACAGACTTTATTTTCTGGACTCCAAAATCACTGTGGATGGTGACTGCAACCATAAAATTAAAAGATGCTTGCTCCTTGGAACAAAAGCTATGACAAACCTAGACAATGTATTAAAAAGCAGAGACATCACTTAGCTGACAAAGGTCTGTATAATCAAAGCTATGATTTTTCCAGTAGTCATGTATGGATGTGAGAGTTGGATCATAAAAAAGACTAAGTGTTGAAGAATTGATGCTTTTGAACTGTGGTGCTGCAGGAGACTCTTGAGAGTCCCTTAGAGAGTATGGCAATCAAACCTGTCAATCCTAAAGGAAATCAACTCTGAATATTCATTGGAAGGACTTGCTTCTGATGCTTTGGCCACCTGAAGCAAAGAGCTGACTCGCTGGAAAAGACCCTAATGCTTGGAAAGATTGAGGGCAGGAGGAGACGGGAACAACATAGGATGAGATGATTGGATGGTATCATCAACTCAATGAGCATGAGTTTAAGAAAACTCTGGGAGATAGTGAAGGACAGGAAAGTCTGGTATGCTGCAGTCCATGGGGTTGCGGAGTCGGACATGACTGAGCAACAATATAGAACCTAAAGGGATAAGGTGGGGAGGGAAGTGGGAGGGAGATTCAGAGATTCAGGGTGGGGGCTACACTTGTATAGCTATGGCCAATTCATCCTGATATATGGCAAAAAATTACAATATTGTAATTATCTTCCAATTAAAATAAATTAATATTAAAACTTCTCCTAAAACCAAAAAAAAAAACCCAACCCAACAACAATATATATAATTATGACTGATCTGCACTATTGTATGGCAGAAAACAGCTCACTAATGCAATTATCTTCCAGTTAAGAAATACATGTTAAAAATATCAAAGAATTGATATTTAAGAGAACAAGAATACTTCAATTAATTTATTATATTTGGCTGATTTTACTAGCTAATTAGTTGGGATACCAATCGAGCATGTTTGTTCAAAATTCTTAGATTCTTATTGATAAATTATTTGTACATGAAGGCATCTGGAAGTTAGTTAAAAGAACCCTAAAGAAGACTTTGAAATAATATGGATCTACTGCAAGTAAGCAGTCCTACTTACAAAATCAAGTCTCTGGGCTCTATGTCTACTTCTTCAAAGCATGCTCATCTGCTTTGGATGATGCCAATAGATATACTAAAGAGATTTACTATAATAAAGACATAGAATCCTTTTATATATGTATTATATATAATATATACAATAATACATATAATTATATGTGTGTGTGTGCACGTGTGTGCATCCCTCTCCCAAGGGTATTGAAGCCCCTGTGACAAATTGTCTTCCACCCAAAGCTGCATGTTGCCAAGGGGTAAGTGAGAAAACTTTGTTCTTAAGCTGAGAGGCAGAAAAGGAGGGAGGGAAGGTGAAAACAAGCAGTCACAAGATCAGAGTTAAGTAAGACCGCACACTCTACAGCCAGGACACCAGGTTCCTTCTTGGCTCGGATTCTTCCTAATCAATTCCGAGACAGTTACTTAATCTCTTTATCACTCAGTTTTCTCATCTGTAAAATGGAGAAATCAATAGTACCTGTCTCATAAGGTTGTTATGAGGATTAACTGAGTTAATATTTGTTAAGCACTTAAAACAATGTCAGTATACAGTAATCCAGATATTTGTTGTTGTTTAGTCATTATGTCATGTTCAACTCTTCTGTGACCCCATGGGCTGTATTCCACCAGGCACCTCTGTCCTGGGATTTTCAAGCAAGAATATTGGTATGGGCTGTCACTGCCTTCTCCAGGGGATGTTCCTGACCCAGGCATTGAACCCATATCTCTTGCATTGGTAGGGAGATTCTTATCACTGAGCCACCAGGAAAGCCCAATCCAGATACAAATCTTTGATAAATAAAGGAAAGCAGAAAGAGTGAGAGAGAGAATAGGAACATTATGTGTCTTTAATAATTGCTTTGCTTCCTTCCAACAGAGTCCTTTATGTTCCACAACTGGGGCCACTCGATTCCTAACCCCATTTCGAGCATGACCCCAAATGACTCTTGTTCAGAGAGATGTAAGAAGCCCTAGTTCAGCAGTTCAGGTGATTCAGCATGAAGTCAAGCTTGCTGTTATTCTTGTCCTGACCCTGCGTCCCAGTTTTAATCACTTGTCCCTGTAACCAAGTCCCAGCCTTGTACTCCAGTTCTGGCACCCCGCTCCCCTGTGGCCCAGTCTGGCTTGCAGAATCTGCTCAAGACTTTCAGTTCCTCTGAGGCAGGTGTTTCCCAAAGGACAGCCTTTAGACTAGACATGCTTTGGTTGGTACACGTAGAGTTTGAACTTCTGAGAGTTAGTTGCCTGCAAAACTGTATAAAAAATTCATATTTCTGACTTCTCTTGAAAAATGGAATGATCTGGGAACCCTTGGTCCCATTTCCCTTTGGGACCCACCCAGTGGAGCCGAGCTGCTGCGACATCCCCCCACCTTTGGAAAGTCACGTGCTCTCTATTCCCGACTCTCCCCTTGCTTCCTGATCCATCTATTTCTGTGATGTGCTTGGTCCTTGTGGGCATTAGAGGTTAGGGTCTAAGACTGAGAATAGCCAGTACTCACCAAGCACTTTGTACTCATTTAATCAAAGACCAGGTTGCATTTGCTCTTGTCCATTATGCCTGCAGCCCTTCTCATTGCCTCAAACCTTTTGTTTGCAGGCATCTGAATCTGTCCCATCATTCTAAATTACTCTCCTCTACCGTATCGGTTAGGGCCACTCTTGAAGCTCTGTGAGACCTCCCTAAGTCAACCACTCACCCAACTGTGCTTTGCCCCACGTTCCAGTCACTCCCACCCAGCCAGAAACTGTTGTTGAGAATTTTGGCCATCATAGTGGTTATATTTCAGAATAAGAACCTGGAGCTTTACTGACCTGCCTGTTCCTATTATCTCATGCTCCATGTTTCTATAAACCCATACATCTTATTGTATATTATATATAGATAGATATAGATAGACTTTCCCTTCACAAAGTTTTGCTCCAATTCTTATTAGCAGCTTAGCAAAATCCATCAAGTATTTATTAATCACATATTATATCCAGATTACCCAGATTCTATCAAAGAAATTGATTTGGGTATACCTTTACTAAGAAACCCGAAAAGTTTGTTTATCTTTCGACAGACCATTCAATCTCTTTTCAGTGAACACCGAAGAAACTAATATTATTTGATCATAATCAGCTTGTTTTTTATCTCATGATAGACCTTTGTGTTTTACAAAACAATGAATGAAAAGAGGGAAATATCAGCATGCCTAAGCTATGAGTTAGATGCTGGAGAGGGTGTGGAGAAAAGGGAACCCTCTTACACTGTTGGTGGGAATGCAAATTAGTACAGCCACTATGGAAAACAGTGTGGAGATTTCTTAAAAAACTGAAAATAGAACTGCCATATGACCCAGCAATCCCACTTTTGGGCATACACACCGAGGAAACCAGATCTGAAAGAGACACGTGCACCCCAATGTTCATCGCAGCACTGTTTATCATAGCCAGGACATGGAAGCAACCTAGATGCCCATCAGCAGACAAATGGATGAGGAAGCTGTGGTACATATACACCATGGAATATTACTCAGCCATTAAAAAGAATTCATTTGAATCAGTTCTAATGAGATGGATGAAACTGGAGCCCATTATACAGAGCGAAGTAAGCCAGAAAGATAAAGACCATTACAGTATACTAACACATATATATGGAATTTAGAAAGATGGTAACGATAACCCTATGTGCAAAACAGAAAAAGAGACTCAGATGTATAGAACAGACTTGTGGACTCTGGGAGAAGGCGAGGGTGGGATGTTTCAAGAGAACAGCATCGAAACACATATATTATCTAGGGTGAAACAGATCACCAGCCCAGGTTGGGTGCATGAGACAAGTGCTCGGGCCTGGTGCACTGGGAAGACCCAGAGGGATTGGGTGGAGAGGGAGGTGGGAAGGGGGACCGGGATGGGGAATACATGTAAATCCATGGCTAATTCATTTCAATGTATGACAAAAACCACTACAATGATGTAAAGTAATTAGCCTCCAACTAATAAAAATAAATGGAAAAAAAAAAGAAAATTTCTAAAGAAAATGCACAAAACTCATTCTATACATCATTTCATGAGATTATCTGGATTGGCTGAAACTGAATATGTACTGTATTTTAAATTCTGTTGATTAAGTTCTACCAGTTTTTAAAGATAGTCTTAATAAAAATGTTACTTACATAAGGAATCGTGTCCAAAGTGTCTGTGTTGACAATTATAGGAGCAGGGCTGGCCTAAAAAAGAGAAGTAGAAAAAAATTTTAAATAACAAGTAGTCTATTCTGAGATAGGATCTGTTAACTTATTTAACCAAGAGCTCAACAATATTTCTTGAGAACCTGCATAGGTACTATGTCAGGTGCTAGGGGGATAAATGAAATGAATTAAGGTTCCCTTCACCCTCCCTTCCTTCAAATATTTGTTTGCTACATTGACCACATAATAAAATGAAGTAAGCACAGAACGGAAAAGGCAAGGACGTGAGGATTTGTGCAGTGTAAGAGGCAATGACTTCTAATAACTTTGGCAAGGAGTCAAACATTTCTTTATGAAATGGCTGTGGCTAAAGGATTTTGATTTTTTTCTCTCATGGAAGCAAAATTAAACCTAACACTATAACTCTTTTCTTTAAACTGGCTTTTGTGAGGATATTGTATACAATGCAAAATAGAAGCATTCACTTTTTGACATTTTACATATGTTCACCTATTTCATATGCTGGGTCATATTTTTTTCTTTATCATTCATATACCTTTGAAAATATGCTTTAGAAACCCTTAGGTAGAAAATTAAAAATTAGTCAAACATGGCAGAAAATTGTATTAGATATGCTAAAGTTCTTTTAAAAAAAAAAAAAAGACTACAAAATGCAGCCATTCCTTTTAAACATGAGTAGGAATCTGTGTAAAACTGATATAGGAGTGCTACAAGCCAAGTCATTAGAAAATAAGAGATTGCAATCTATTTGCATCAGCCAATCTGACTTCATGAATATTGAGCAAATCTATTTTCTAGTTTCTAGACTTTTCACAGCAACTTTTCCTTCATCCCCCTAAGGATCTTTAATCTCCTTCCCAAATTGCCGATTTCATTTAGATAGAGGAAATGGTCTCACCATGATTAATTGGGAGCTGTCCTATACTTCACGGTAGTTTGCGCAAGTGCTCAACTTTGGGGACATTTCATTAACTGTGCCCTCTGGAGTTAACAAGAGTTAACAGCTTTCTAATGTCAATCTATGCCTATGGGATCCTAATCAAAAGACAAAACACATGGCAATCCAGCAGATTTTATAGAACAGAGTTCCAAGTTTTAACTAAAATCATTGGTCATTGAAAACATGACCCTGCTTCACATGTCTACATAGTGGGTCAACTAAATATTCATGGTTTATTTGTTAACTCCTAATAGCAAGTACCTTGTGGATAAACATGGGCTTTGGAGAAAGTTTCCACTAGAACCTACCCCAAAACTGTTAAGTCTGTAGCATAGGGAGATGAACATGAGGTTTGGAGTCAGAAGATCTAGGCTCAGGTTTGGTTTAACAACTTCCTGATTATACGATTTGGGGGCTCAGCAACTTCTTGGTAATCTGATCTGGAGGTAAGCCCACTAACTCTCTTTCTTTGCCTCATTTTCCTTCTCTGTAAAATGGAAATAGAAATAATCACTTTCTAAAAAGGTTGTCTGAAGAATAAATGAGGTGCTATATTTGAATGGGCTTTATAAATGTAAATTTCACAATCAATATTAAATAGTGTTACTAGCTAATGACCTTAAAGATGCACTATCATAAGGATATAATGTTACTGGATGGTTTGTGCACTGTTTCTGTCCCTGTAATCTCAATGCTATGCTAGTGCCACAGTTGCACTAAACAGAACTGATTAGGTCATGAAAATCACCATTTATTAAATACATATTACTTGTCCATTTATAATAATATGCATATATACCCTCATATAATCTCCACAAAACCATACTAATGAGGCATTATTGTTAATATCCCTATGATACAGATGAGAAAACTGAGGTTCAGAGAAAATGAGAGCTGAGATTTCACAGCAGCCTTTCTTACCTCAAAATCCATTTTTCCATACTACACTGTTTTATGAGTCCATTACCTAGGGGTCTCCACCACTGGGGTTCTACAGTTATTTGAGATCTCTAACTAGACCAGCCAGTAAGACCCAGGCAAAGCAAAGACCACCTTGAAGGTAAGAAATACTGCAGGGTCTTGCATAGTAGATGTTGAAAGCCACCTGGTAATTCCTTGATGGTTTCTGGTTTTTAGTTTTGATGATGTTTCTTCTATGCTTTCTAATTGGCTCCTGGGACTCCCAAAAGACTTGCATCTTGTTTCCTTGACTAGACTACTGAAAACTTTCTGAGTATCACACCCAGTACTTGTATTTCTCCTTGTTATCTACTATACTTTGATCAAAAAATATGCTTTAGTTTGATTTAGGACTTTCAACTCATTTTACCTTCTTATAAATTGCTTTCATGTGGTCTGGAAATAAATTTTATACATAGATCCAGTCCCTATACAACGCCATTTATCACTTTTGTATGTTTCTGTTGCTATTTTCCATTTCATGGATGTAAATTTGTTCTTTCCAGTTAGACACTTGCAACAACAAGGATTATTTATTTTCCTAGAATTTTTCACAGCACCTGGGTACACAGAAAGAGCTCAGTAAATACTTAGGAAATATTGACTAAGTGAAGCTATAAAGTATAGTACACAGGAAATATCTCTTTGTAAGATCTGGAAAGCATTTCTGAGATAATCTTATGTTACCAACAAAACTGTGATGACTTTCCAATATCTACTATCATCTTCTTTCTTTAACCAGTCATTAACACTGAGTTATCCAGTTTTTTAAAATAATAATTAGTTCATAAATGCAGGATATAAAGTCTGTGAACCTTGAAGTACAATCTGTGTAATATGAAAAGCTCACTGTTCTTTTGGTGCTAAAAAGATCTAGAAGTGCAGTCAATTCCTACATCTATGACAGTCACTAAAAATGCACGATCAAATGTCTGTGGGCTGTGTGAGCACACACATACATCACATACATCTGACACTGGCAACTCCCTGATGTGAGTGCCAAGGAGACGCCAGGGTGGGCTGTTCTGAATGGCACAATGCCCCCACTGAGCTGCTACATGAGGCTTTCTGAAAACCCCATTGCTCTGCTCCAGAACCCTCAGAGCCCTCCCCCAGACCATTTTCTCAGAAGCTTCTTATAACCTGTCGGGTGCTCCATGGCGTACAGTAGCAGAGAATAAGGGCCCCAGGCGGGAGCAGTACAGAGGACAGGAGAATTCTAGGCATGGCCCGTGAATGTGCTTTTCTCACCAGATGCTGTGTTGGCTTGTCCTGCTTCCTTTCTCGCCTTTGAGACCATGTGAGTCCATGCCTACTTTGGTTTCTGCATATGAAAACCAGTTCCCCAAGTACGTTGATAGTTAAAGCACTAAGCGTCATCTCCACACTGCCTTGCCATACACACACTTTCTCTCTATACTGGATATCCTCTTTAGTGAAACCCCTAAATCAAATGGATGATTTAGCAGATTTCAGCATTTCCCTTCAAGATGCTAATTTCCATTAACTGGAGAGAGTTATCAGTATGAAATATGATAAAAGAAGACCTTTAAATCAGAAGCTTGAAGGCTTGTCTGAATGTAAACATAAAGGCTTAAGAAAATGAATCTCACTTGGGTGACCCAAACTATAAGACATGAAGGGCTTGCCTTTACCCAAACTATAAGACATGAAGGGCTTGCCTTTTATATTACATTCTGTTCCATGTGGAAAAAGCCAGTTTACAGGAAGAGGGAAGACTAAAGCTAATCAGAGGGAAGAAAGAAGGAAGCAGAGAAAATACCGATACAATCCAAATTAATAGATCAAGTTATTCATAAATTCCTGTTACCTCCCTGTCCTTGAATTCCATGGGATAGTCAAATAGTGTACATCATTAACTTTGCTCATGATAGGAAGTGAAAAACTAAACTTCTATCACTTGCCACCAAGATAAGTAACTAATAAAGAGTCTTACATAATGAATGCACATTTTCAAAGGAGTTCATTAATTCCAACTGATTTTATATTTGTTAAGTGCCAGATGTGTGAAATGCCTCTGACATAAATGGGCAGGTGGTCACCAAGCCAGAGGAAGCCTCTTCAAGCAAGGTATTGGCAGGGGTGGTAGAGAGGCTGGTCGGTAAAATAATACAGTCTGTGAGGCTTATTGCTGACAAGCGCAGGCTAACCATTGGCAAGGTCAGAAGACTGAATCCAGGCCTATAATTAAATTTCTTTAAAGGTTTCTTTTTGGTTTGTTAGTTTGTTTTTTAATGTGGACCATTGTTTAATGTCTTTTATTGAATTTGTTACAATATTTTTTTTTTCTGGCCACAAGGCATATGGGATCTTAGTTCCCTGACCAGGGATTCAACCCACATCCCCTGCACAGGAAGATAAAAGTATTAACCACTGGACCACCAGGGAAGCCCCTATAACTAAACTTTTAAGCAGAAAAGTAGAAAAGAAGAGAAACCCACACAGCTAAGTGACCTAAATACACTAGAAACTGAATAAAAACATTGATGGGGCTAGGGATCGTGCAGGGATCTCAGCTGACCTGGAACATGCCAGCAGAAGGCAGCTGGCTGTCAGTAGGCCAACTTAAACAGGAGGTAAAATATGACAAGAATAACTCGTGAGCTGTTTTGGGGGCCCAGCATCTTTGCCTTATCTTCTCAGACTTAAAGAACAAGGCTCCTGAAGAGGCAAGAAGTAACACAGGCTCTTTCTACAGTGTGGCATGAAGACTAAAATGGAAGCCACTGAAAATTTTAAAAGGAGTCCATTTGTGTGTGTATATGATTGTAGTGAGACAAGTAGAGATCTCAGAAGCTCAAGATAAATATTAGCTGGCATAGATTGACTGCTCCAAGATATCACAGTACTTGTCCTTTAGCTTCATAGTCACAAAGAGGGCTGCCATCGGGGTGACCCTAATCAGATCATGTCCCAGTTCCAACCAGGGAAACAAAACACGGGGGTTACTACCCACATACCCATCAGGCCTGAAATAAGAGGTCTGCCATTAAATATTGAACTGGTATGCAAAAAGTCAAACTCAGGATAATTTTATTTTTATTAGGTTTTCTTCCTGTTCCTCTATTATGTTGGCCCATTTTGGAAATTTGAAAAT